ATTGTAATGGACACCTGTGAAAAAATTATGCGCAGAAACAAATTAAAGGAGAGCTGAACTTTATATAACCATATGTTTTGGAAGGACTCTGACCTGATCGCCGTTCAAGCGATTAATGAGCGTTACACAAACATCAGCAGCCCTGACCCCAACCTTTTGAGTCAGCGAGGCGAACATGGTGGCCTCCATTTCGATGTTGCATATGCCCTTCTTTTGGCATTCCTTCAGGAAATCCATCTTTTCATCGTCGCTGTATTCACACACAGCGCCATCAGTGCGTCCTTGACCTGCATAGATAAAATAAAGTTGCATATTTGTCGTCATTTCATGTGGTCAGCACTTACCCTCATAGAAACAATCGGTGGACATTGTGTTGGCAATTATGGTGTTGAAGCCATCGTCAGATTTGGCGCCATATTTTAGGATCTCCTGGCAAAGTGTGTCTGGGAAACTGGCGGGTCGCACCACACGCTTTCCCAGAATGGCCTAGCCAGACGCCAGAAATAAAACAAGAAATCATTAAGAGTGAGCAGGTACTCCGTAACTTGCACACTTACAATCTCATGTTCGTTTTTTAAGTAACCATTATACGCATCCTTGGTGATTACAACGGTGCCCGGCTCAACGCCCACGCCGCCACATGTGCCAATGCGTATGAATACGGGATCCTGACACTTGGCATACTTGACCAGCTTCAGCAGCTCGTGCAGCACCACCGAGAACGTTGAGGAGCCGACACCATGGCTGACGCATAAGACGGGGCCCACCTTGTAGACAGCATAGCGTTGTCCACTTTCGCATAGATCAACAGGTTCGCTGTCGTCCTTTATGCCCAATATGGGACGCAAATAAATAGCCAACTCCCGCATACGCTTCGAAGTGCCACCCGCGCATACGGCCTAAGCAGGGGAAGGATTATAAATATTTCAGCAATCAAATTTATTCGAAGATCTCACGCACGACTATATCGCCGAATCGCTTTTGAATATCGCTAGTATCCTCTGTATTGGGCACATTGATGTTCAGATGGTATAGAAAATCAGAGGGCATCTTATTGAGATTGGGATTTTTCAGATTTACGCTGTGGGTAAAATACTTAAAGCTCGTATGCACTTTGCCATGTAACGCAATGTCCACTTACCCTCTTAACATTGTGTGTTAGTACTAGATAACGCTATAAATAATTTCAAGATAATAATGTCATATTATTTCATTGGTAAATAAAATGGGTAGACGATAGCTTATAAGCTTAAAGCTTATAAATAATGTTATTATCTAACTTGTATAAGTGGCCTGTAAAATCTTCAACCTACATTTGACATAACAGAATGGATTTTCGTAAAGTTTGATTGGATGAAAATAAAAAAGGCTTTAATGAACCTCATTTTTCGACCGATTCTTTCTATAGAGCTACATTAAATAGTAGTTATATCTTGATGTGACTTAGCTCATATAAAAACAGCTTAGTTAATGCCGAGTTTGGTCTAGATATATTGAAAAACAAAAAGCACTTTCGTATGCCAGCTATTATGATATATAGTTGTCCCATCCGGGCTGTTCGATATATGTACTGCCCGCAGAAAGACGGACAAGTGCAAAGTTCCAAGACGATAGCTTTAAAACTGAGAGAAGGAGACTGATATATATTATATTATATTTTATCTTTATATTAATTTAACTTAAGTTCAATTGCTATCTCGACATTAACTTCATAATAAGGTTCTAAATATATTTTTATTGTTCTCCGATACAAGAGCAGTCCCTGTATAGCGTTATCGCCCGACTTTTTGCTGCGTCGCGGAATCGCAACAGAGACCCCTTATCTTATTATACTCATTTTTCTGTGTAAATATACGTATGCATATATGCTTTGCTGTATGACTCGTTGCATTGGCTGAAGAAGAAGAGAAGTGCAAAAATGCACGTATTTTATGGCAATTCTGAAGAATTTCAATATTTGCTATCAACTTAACAGCCAGACGAACGACCCAACTGCAATAAAAAAACAAGAGGTTCTAGTCGGGAGCTCCCGACTAGGGGATACCCTGAACCCTCTTCTTTCAACATCAAATGCATATATATATTCTATTTTAGACGCTGTGTCAAGTTTGGTGACTCTAGCTCTTATTATTTACCAAAATTGCGCAAAAAACAGGATATCGATATCGATTCTTATCGATTGCTTGGAAACGGAGTAGGTTATCGATTATCGGAAACAAACTCGATCTGCGCGGCAACTAGGATTATCTACATCTAAAAGTATCTAGCTCTTATAGGTTCTGAGATCCTTGCATTCATACATACGGACGGACGGACAGACAGACGGACATGGCTAGATCGACTCGGCTATTGGTGCTGATCAAGAATATATATACTTTATGGGGTCGGAGATGCTTCCTTCTGCCTGTTACATATATTTGGATTTTGCACAAATACAATATACCCTTATACCCATTTTTAATGGGTTCAGGGTATAATAAAACTTATTAAAATGTCACAATGTCAACGAATGCATTACAATACAATTGCAATGCTATTTATAGAATTCAAATTGACGCGCATGAATATGTGTGTGAACATGCATTCAGCATGTGGAATGCAAATGCACACTTCTTTGTTTTTTGTCCGAACTTGATGTAATTGTACTAGAATGTTTATACAGTCTCAAAAAGACAATAGCATTAAAGTTTTGTCTTAAGTTGGTAGACAGTTCTAATTGATTTATTTATTTGAAATGTATTGAAGGATAGTTATATGACAAATTTGTTGCCTAGGTTTTTTAGACATAGCTGAATCGACTCGATCTATAATATTTGTATATATATTTGTATACTTCGAGGGTCGGGGATGCTTCCTACTGCGTGTTATTTACATTTGCACAAAGACAATTTACCCCCTTTGTCCATTTTCGATAGGTTCTGGTTATTATTCAATTCAATTCAGTTGCGTTGCCATGGGCTTCATAATGTACCTAATATATGATCGAAATCTTATCACTTTCGGACCACTTTATTTTGGAAAGCTCTTTCAAGAACCGTCCATGTGAAAGGCTGGGACGTAAACAAAACAACAAAACAACATATATGGCAGATATGCAATGGTATTTAATAGTCAGCAATCCATTCGTTCTTGCTTTGCAGTAAAGCAAATAAATATCTAAAACTACCTCGCTAAAGGGCAAAAAATGAGCGGCAAGAAATCAATAACAATATTTGTCACGAACTTACACATACATACATCTTATCTACAAAACTTTATATACACGCTTTTATATTTATATTTATATTTATATATTTAGACAAGAAAGATAGATCTATTCGAAAGTCTCCGGCTACTATTTTGGGATATAATTCGGTGCCTATTATCCGATCTTTATGAAATTGTTAAGAGATAAATCTAAATATATGTAAATACCAAACATCACGGTCGCAGTTTTACAAATAAGTTTATTAAAATGTTGAAGGGAACGGCTAAGGTATTCAAAAAGTGAACTATTCGAAATATGTGTAAATTAGACATGACTTGGTGTTACAAGCTCTTGACTTGATCTGCGCGGGCTCACACATTCAACTAGATTGGCTCGGTTGTCACAACTATATAACCTGTTCTACACACTTTCAATACGTTCTATTTATAAAACTACACTTACATTTTGCTGAAGTTTTCACGCTGTGATCGCTACGACGTCGCTTTAAATACTGCAGTATACAATTCGCATTGATCGGCTGGAGGTCTCGCTTTTTTTCTCTCTCTCTCGCTCTCTCTCTCGCTCTCGCGCTCTCTCTCTCTCCCTCTCACTCTATCTCTCGCATACAGTGATGCTGCGAAGTGCAATTGTAACTAAGACTTCGCTCATATACTTGAAACTGGTTGTCATAAGAAAAAAAACATTTTACTGAAAAATAAATAAATAAAGGAGTACATTCTTATACAGTTAGTGTTGACAACTAGTTCTGATCGCCACTGCAATCACATGTGTAAGAACTGTCTTCAGCCGGGGGCTCTCCGTACATTGCCTTCCGTATGTAGCGAGCGATTAGTATTTGAGGTCTTGTGTCGTAATCTTTGAGTCTCGCTGGTGGTGAGTCTATCTGCAAAAAGCCAAGAGGTCGATGATCAGTGTCCGCGACTGGGCATAGATTAGACAAACCTGGTCGCCCTCCATGCGATTGAGTAGGGTCACACAGACGACAGCGGCACGAATATTGGCCTGATTTGTGAGGCTTGCGAATGTGGTGCTCTCCATTTCGATATTGACAACTCCACTCTGAGACAATTTCTCCAGGAATGCCATCTTTTTCTCTGGCGTGTAATCGCAAAAGGCACCGTCCAGACGTGATTGTCCCTCATAGAAATCATTTGTACAGAGCGTTTTGCCCAAGACAGTGTCATAGCCATCTCCACAGGGATTAGATAGTGATCTAAGCGTCTTGGCCAAGTCCTGGTCCAGTGTTGTGGGCCGTAGCTGGGGTTGAGTTTGAACGACCACCTCATGCACGGGTCGCAATTGGCCATCCAGAGCCTCTGAAGTAATCACCACGGTGCCAGGCTCAACAGTAATGCCACCACTGGTGCCCATGCGAAAAAAGACAGGATCCTGACACTTGGCATGGAACAGGAGCTTGATGAGCTCGTGCAATACTATGCTGATTGAGGGGCCGCCAATGCCATGACTGGCGCACAGCACTGGCCCAACTTTGTACAAGGCGTATCGATGGCCTTCCGCGGAAATGTTTTTTAGCTGAACGCTTTGGCTCATCTTGAGTCCAATCTCTTTCATGATGAAATTGGCGAATTTCTCCATGCGCGATTCCGTGCCGCCCAAGCATACGAACTGTGGCCATGACAGTTGATAAATAAGCAAGAAAGGTTGCTCTAGTCGATAATGTCCGACTAGGATGTTTCCAAAAACTGAATAATATACGTACTAAAATGAGTAACGCCGAACAATAATATGCCTTAGCATTAATAAAAAATAAATTTAAAAAAAAACAATAAATGAATTTCTCCCTTTCCACGATAGCTAAAAAATAAAAGTACTTGATGTGAACATACAAATTTGGTGACTTGCCCTGAATATTTGAAATTCGCTCAAAAATAGAATTTCAATTTTTATCGATTGATTGGAAACAGGGCAAGCTATCGGAAATAACCATGTACTACGCGGACGATAGGGGTCGGCGGTGCTTCTCTTTTTACAGTTGAATGAAATATTTGAGATCCCTTTGAAGCCTCTATCTATTAGTGAAAAAATAGCCATAGAAACGACCGATTTACAATATATGTATGTGTGCATACAAAGTAGATGCCGATTTTTTAACGTCACTCTCCAAAAACGCGCTCCTTCCATTCAGTTTTGAGAATCGACGAAGTTTTACAAAAATGTATTGATGTTTTACTTTGTTTTGTTTTGTTGAAGCATCGATACTTAGCGTTTGTTATGTGTCTACATTAACTACTACGGCAACGCCGGCCAGCCAGTACTCTCTTTAGGGATGGGCATTTCCTGCCCACCGTCACGAACAATCGCACAACACTAAACTAAATCTGCACATCACTAAGCAGTTGACTCAAAAACGTAAACAAAGGCTAGTGACAAAACAATGCAAAAATAAAGCTAACAAAATTTCGGCGGGTTCCTTGTTGTTGCCGTTGCACATAAACCTATCCTGTGGTAATGATCAATTTATTTTCTATCAGCAAACATAAATTCCATATTCCAGATGACTTCTATTCGAACGGCAGCATTCCCCTTCCTAACGTTAACGAATTTTTTGCCGGACATTTTCTTTTTCACTATGTGCGTATAATTGTGCGCATTTATCAAATATTATTATTAGCAAATATTATTTCTTAAACTAAATTACAGGAACAAAAGACAGACGACAAGACTTTTGCCTGTTGCCGCTGGAAACAATAATCGATTATAATTTTTTACTGAGTGAATATAATTCTCGAATTGGAAATTATGTGAGGCATATAAGTTTGAAAGATTGCTACCTTACTCTATCTAAAGAGCTCTCCGGCAGCCCAAAATGTAAGCCACAACAATATGCATCAATGTTTTATTCTAATGCATCGATATTGAGCTTTGATGTTCACCGGTAAATCGATGTACATTTCTATTTCATCTATTTCATCATCAACAATGATGCAAAAGCCAATTCAGCAATTGGCAACCCTACCAAGAAGCGTTACTTAACTCAACTTACGCGCACATCTCCGAAAACCTTTGGAAAATCAGTTGTTACTGTATCCAAGTTAAGATGGTATAAAATATCCGGATTAAGGCATTCGACGTAGGGGTTTATGTTGCCTAAAGTGGACTCCAATTCTTGCGGTTCTTCGGGGTTGCAACCGTCCTTGATGTGCTTTATGAGTTCATCAATGCGTTTATTTTGTGATTTAACCATGGCTGCATAGTTGAGTTATAGGAATGACACACAAGACTAATATTTGCTCACCTTTCAGTTCGCAGACATCTTTTTCAATATCTTTACTACATTTGGTCGTCATTCTTTCAAGCTTTTAAGTGAATTTGATTTTAGTCCGAAAAAGAATTTTGAATAGCTGAAATATATTTAGAATTTAGAAAAGTTTTGTATTTGAGTAAATTCTCACATCAAGAAGTTAAGGATACATATTTCATAGATCTTGACAAAGTTTAAACTCTTAGAAAAGTCTGATTAATTTTTTAAGAGTACCAAATGAAAACAAAGATCGAGAAATAAAAACAAAAATAAAAGTTTCCTTTTGTTGTTTCCCTCAACTGTGAAACATCACTCAAATTAATTTGGCCATAGATATTTGAAAATGATTATGTGGGCTTTGGATGGTGAGCCAAAAATATCCATACAATTCTTTTTGGCGATTTTCTACACTTGAGGGTTGGAATTTATCAAGCTACAGTCAAAATTTCAGCTTCCCAGCTCTTAGGTTTGAGCTGAGCGTTGATGGCCAGTCTGTCAGGACAAAAAGTTTTATATAGATAATATACTTTATACGAACTTCAGCATTAATCTCAAAGGCATTAAGGCAAGTGTGGCACGCGTCACTGTGCCTCGTTTCGTACAAGCAGAGCCAGAAGCTTGAAAAGGCTGCAAAAGATTGAATGACTGCTGCAGGCAAAGGCACTACTCATCAAAATGATGGACCCACACCGGCTAAGCCTGAGGCACAGCATCAGCACAACAGCTTCATCGAAAAAGAATGGTTCAAGCTAAGGCAGCCCGTAAGGTAGCCGGCATCCCATGGTGCGGCACAAGCGATGCCATCGAAGCAGGTCTGCGCCTAACAAAGTTCGGAGATCATCTCGATTTCTTCAGCAGCCGCCCTGACTGACCCTACTACAGAGCGGCGCTCCCTAAAGATATACCTGCGATATACTAACTAGGGCAATCGATTGAATCCCTTACATTATTAGGCTATGTCCACAAGAGTTTCATTGTAAATATCCCATCAGTGTACATACAACTATGCCCTTGCTTCATAGTCCTGCGCTTGATCAAATCCTCCTGATCAAATCCAGCGCACAATATGACAAAGAGATTACGCAGACGACAAAGCAAACAATCTTTAAGTTTTGAAATACATTTTGCTTTTAATATACCAATTAGTTTCATAAAATGTTTGTGATTTCATTTAAACCGATTTTATATTTGCTTCAGCTGAATTTTTACGTGTACAACTTGATTTTTTATTTATTTTTTTTTTTTTGAATTGAATAAGATCAACTTTTGTTAATATAGCGTATGATTAGCAACATGCGAATATGCGAATGCGCATAACAATTGTTTTTGGAATTACAGCACAATATGTGTAATAGAATAATTTACGAAATTTTATATTACGATTTGAAATACATATATTAATATTTGGTTTGCCTCATTTGGAATATGCAACATAACAATTAACAATTTTTTTTTTATATTTTTGCATTTTCTTTATTACCATAGTTGCAATTAGCGATGCGATTAACAACAATTTGATTTAGTTTATATTGAAACACAACGTCACATTGAGTTTATTATTAATATTAATATGTTAATATTTAGTTTGGATAAGTTCATTCAGCTTTTAGCGTTTATACGCCAATACCTGCAGTATGCTTGTCATTAAATAAGCTAATGAGGAAGTGGATATACGTATAGTACATAGATACACATATGGGGAAATAAAATAAGAACCTAAAGTGAATTAAACTATGGAGTGTTTAAAGGAATATTTGTATACATGAGAGTTGGTTTGACATATGAGTCAAAAGGTAACTTGAAATCATATATCCGATGTATATGCAATGATCTTTTGTATTTGGCTGCTAGCTCTAGTCATGGGCCTGTGATTCCTGCTGTACCAGCTTGAAGCGCCTCGGTGACTTTATGGATCCATGCTGTCCAAAGAGCGACTTCAGTTGGCCATGCTGGGCGAGCACCTTGCGTATATACCTGGAGACGAGTATCTGTGGACGCTGCTGCCACTCATTTATAACCTCTTTGGGCGCATTGACCTGGTCCCCATTTAGGCGATTCAGGAGCACAACGCAAACAACGGCTGCTTTGATGCCCGCATGATGTGTTAGCGCTGCGAAGATGGTGCTCTCCATTTCGATGTTGACGACGCCGTTGTCGCGCAGCTTCTCCAGATAGTTCATCTTATCGGTTTCGGTAAACTCACAGAAGGCGCCATCCAGACGTCCTTGACCCTCATAGAAGTCATTTGTGCACAGCGTCTTGCCAATGATGGTGTCGTAGGGATCATCAGCACTGGCCAGCGATTTCAGTTCACGTGCCAGCTTCTTATCCAGCTTAGCCGGACGATGCACAGTCTCGCCCAGAATTGTCTATAGAGAATTGACAATTATCATAAATAAATCAGCAGTAAGCCCAGACAACATGCACTTACAAACTCATGAGAGTTGCGCAAATGCCCATCCAACGCATCTTCAGTGATGATGACGGTGCCGCCGTCGACGCCAATGCCGCCACAGGTGCCGATGCGTATGAATATGGGATCAATGCATTTGGCATGGTACATCAGCTTGATAACCTCGTGCATCAGTATGCTAATCGAGGGGGTGCCCATGCCGTGACTGACGCATAGCACCGGACCGACTTTGTACATGGAATAGCGGTACGAGAACTCGCTAATATCCTGCAGCTGTGTTCCAGCGGGAAGCTTATAGCCGATCTCATCCATAATGAAGTGTGCGAAGTTCTCCATGCGCTTTGGTGTGCCGCCCATGCAAACGAACTGGTTGTGAACGCATTGAAAGAGCAGAATATGAAATACCGTTTAAAAAATTTAAATAATAATTCGAAAAAATTAAAAATATTAACTTGATTTTCATTATCAAGGGCAATTAACATGTCTTATAAAGTGAATCGATAATGGATATTAAGTTAAGACTGGAAACGGCAAACTTGTTTTTTTTTTCGAACTCTCACTTGCGTAATCTGATCGGGTTTAGTTGTATACCACTAATTAGCGTGTTTAGAATGCAAAGTATTCTTAACCCAAAGTATTTATGATAATGGTGACTATGAGCCATTCTCCTCAATCAAATGTCAGTTAACCTTGACATAACTTTGAACAAAGCATATATGTACATATAAAATACTAATTTATTATTAGAAGTCTTAAGAAGAAATCGTTAAAAGATCAAAGCTTGTTCAACACTCACCTTAACATCGCCAAACATTTCTCTCAGATCATGGCTCTCGCTACCGAGCGCTACGTGATATAAGATATCCTGATCCATAAGTTCAATATTGGGGTTGCGTAATTTAACTGTGCCATCGGCGTATCTGCAAGCAATAAGCGCAATGTCAACTACTGTATAATAATTTATATATACATATTTGTTTTTAATAGAAGGTGAATTCATCAATAATACAAATAATCTTAATATAAAATATTTCACTATGCACAATCAAAAGTAATCAGTTATTAATAAAGTGCATTCGTAAACATGTTTAGACGGAAATTATAGTAAGCGTCAGTTGATTTCCCGATAAGATTGTTATTTCCGAGAATTGTGAATTCCAAGAATTGGAACCATCGCATAAAGCTAATATACCCTTTAACAAATTATTAGGGTGAACTATATTTACAATATATTTTTCTGAACATTAGAGAATTTCAGAGCACATAATGGCAACCAAATGTAAAGACCAAACTATACTATTTGAATGAGTGTATCCCAAAAAAAGAATAAAGTTCTGTATATCAAATATGGTTAAAAAACAAACAGGATGTCGATATTCGATCCTTATGTTTAGTTGACAATTTTGATAACAGAGACGATGTTTAGCTCCACAATAATAGAAGAGTTTCGAACCAACGACCTTTGGCATACACAATATAAATTCCATATGTCTAGATCGGTATAATAAAACACTTAAATAAAACAACTTTAAGCGAAACCTGAAAAGCTCTGTCGGTCACACAAGATGATGAGAAATAATATAATTATCCTTTAAACTGTAGAGAAGCCCGCTTCTGTCTGTTACATAAATTTGCACAAGTTTAATTCACCGTTTTTTGTTACCTATTTTCAATGAGTATCTAAAAAAAAAACAAAAAAATAGAACCGTTTTTCGACCATCTGGATGTTAATTTCCAATAGGACACAAATTTAAGTTGCCAAAAGAGAGTACCATATGAGTTCATCACCAAACATTCCATTTTATTTGCACATATATGATGGATGGGTGCATGAATGTAAGTTGATACGAAGCCAACTTTTATGTATGCGTACAAGCCCGCCAAAGCACAGCCCCAAAATTGTACGCGTCATTTGATTAGCCTTATCAACCACCTAACAAAATATTTGAGTAGCTAAAAAGAGCTGAATATATAGATTTTAATATGTTGGGGTGTTTGTATATGTACGTTTTATGTAAATATGTATTAACCTTGATAGCAAAATTTTAAAAATGATTAGATTTCTGTGAAACATCTGATCCATAAATTAGCTAGGTTCATAGATCCAGAGGTGTCAAGTTTATCAACAAATTTTGCCGAATCATTCAACAAATGAAATTTGAGCGCTTAATAACTGTCAAAACACAAAAACAGCAGGGGATCTAGAGGTCTGTGTTCAGTTCTAGGTGTAGGTCTAGGTCTTGATATCGAAACGACACACCCACTTCAATAAATGTTTGCAGGTGTGTGGGTGTTTGTTCAAGTGCTTCTGCAATCTATTTACCTCATTTCGTACACCTTATCAGAACCGTGTCGAGCTACTTCAAGGTGGCGGCAGTCTTTTTCCGGCCAAATCACTTAATCAGTCCCCTTATGTTCCGGCAGGTGCCTGAGCACTTTGGTCACCGCTCTATAATAGGAAGCCAAATCAAATTCCAGAAACGATTGGTGAATCTACAGAGTCTCAGACCCCAAAGGAAATTCGCTGAACACTTTAGACAGTCGACATATTGGTCTACCGATATCCTGAAAACTCCGGACATTCTGGGAATTGCCTTCTCCAGATCCAACTCTCTTTCCACACGTACGGACTTCGATCTTACAATTGACCATTATGAAAGCAAACTGAATTGTCCACCAGTCACCATCGTACAATCAAGTACCTTGGCTTAACTTTGGACCGGAGGATGACTTGGAAAGGTCACATCACAAGCAAACAGTTAGATTGGCTATAGAGAAGCAGATTACAGTTTACATTTAAGAAAAAGCAGTGTATTAACAAAGAATATTATATCCGAATCGATTTAGTCCTGTTTGTCCGACTGGGAATCTGTGCGTCCGTATGTATGAACAACGCGTTGAACTCATATCCTATTAGAGCGGCACACTTGAAGTTTTGAACGTGGGTCCTCAGAGGGTTAAGGGTGTCCCTTCGTCAGACACTGCTGTCTAGAGAAATCTGACTTGTTATCATTTAGTTTTACGCTTGTCGCGCATTTTAGGCGATTTAATAACCACGTAGCGTCACAGACTTTTGCGTCAGCTGCCAACTCAGCTATATACAAACTACTTGTATATGTATTTGCGAAATACGCTTGCCTAAGACAATCTTCCCGCCAATAACAACAACTGCAACCCTCGGGAATGGCAACGGCAGCTGTCTATATGCATTTCTTTTGGACCGGTTTGTCAGTTTGTTGTATTCTTACCGCGTTTTGCTACGCATATGTACATCCGTCTCGTCCTCATCGTCCTTTGGCGTTGTACGACAGTGTGCCTTAAATTCATGCGCCTGAATTGTGGGTGGCATGATGTCAGTCTAAGATTGTCCTTGAAGTGTATCCTAGTACATCATACGACAGCTGCGTCAGCTGCCTAAATATTTCTTAACACTTAATGTTTGCGCATGAGCGCAAGACCAAAAAAAAATTATAAGACAACAACAAGAAACGTATTGTATACGCCGACGGAAGTCGAGAAACTAAAAAATTTGTTGAGCGCGGCAGGCTGTTATATAGGCAGCGCTTACCAATACATCTAAAGCCACAAACACACAATAGGTTGCCTGACTGTTAATGTACATAGGCATGCTAACAGAGAGACATGCCGAAGCCACTGTTAACTGCGCATGTTAGCGTATAACATAGATAAGACTCTGACGGAAGTTCAAATGTCAGAATAGAACGACATTAGTTTTAGAAATATTTAAATGCTCTATATTACAAGGTTGCCTGAATAGGCATCTATGTGCATCTTATTCGTAATTGATGGCAGTTTAAACTAGATTACAGCATAGCGTGAATAACTCTTTTGCGTAATTTACTTTGTGCAATGCAATTGTCGTTTCACAATTCAATTGCAATTAAAGCGTAGCTTTTATTGAGTCTTGAATGCTTTCATTCAGAATACAGGGTGCTGACTTGTAATATGTCACCAGGTGCCCCAAATGTTCGTACATTCGATAGCCATGTGTATGAATTGTGCCAATTTTTTTCAATGATCTTTAAAGCGTATTTCAACCGGTCTGTGCTATTAAATCTAATTAGCATATTTAACTTTGATATTTCACAAAGAGGTTGCTACAAATTAAACATCATTTTTATAGATAAAGTATATATATTTATTGTTAAATTTTTTGCAGAAAGTTTTGTTTCATTTTTGACTTAATGCGTTTTTTTTTCTTCCATCCAATCCAAAAGCACCCTGTATGAAGCTATGCTTATTTACAATTGGCATCATTCAAAACAAAGTGCTTTTTTGATATAGCAGAGAAGTGACCTGCGTCATCGCCGATGGCTTTCATTTCTTAAGCCAACTCATAAAATATACATTTAGACGTATATATGTATGTGCACAAATGTATATACCACGCTTTTAGCGAAGCATGACCAAAGGCGGCCGCCAATGCGAATATATAAACACAAACAAAACGAAAAAATATAACTTGTATATACTAAAAAGAGTAAAAACAGAGTCAATGAGCAGTCGAACAAAGCAATATATGTAGGTACAAAAAGGGGGCTCGACTCTGCAGCTAGACCTAAGCAAAAGAGAGTAAGAGAGAGAGTAAGAGAGAGAGAGAGAGAGAGAGAAAGTGGGGGCAAGATTGAGACAAAGCTTAAAATGAGTGGACCGGGGATCCAGTAAGACTACATAAGTTGCGGCATACATTCAGCTACGTGACAACTCGCGGCCAAATTTGGAGGTCGTCGAAAAGGTTTTAACTTTAAAGGGGTCCGCATATGCTCTTTAAGTATAGTGTAACCACCTATTAACTGATTCATTAACCTGGCTGTATTTGTAATACGCAACTGCATTATCTTGCAATCTAATCAAAAGGTCTGTCTGGGTACTCAACAGTGTGTTGTAAGCCAAATTGCGTACCCGACAACATGTTTAAGCCTGTTTAGACAAAACTTGAAATATTGCACCTGCACGTATAAATGAAACGAATTAAACAATGCTTCTTTAATTGCATTTCGATTTTCTATTGACACTTTTCTGAGAAAACTCATGCATGTGTTGTGGCATGTGATTCGCTATAAACCAATTTAAAAGCCAGTAACTTTTAAATTTCCACATAAATTGAACACTTCGATATAACAATAGGAGATGCATGTATGTAGGTCAGCGAATTGTAAAGTGAAAAGTCAACTGTCAATGCAACATATACAGGTCGACTTGCTGCCATGCTTTTTCTTCCCTTTCCGATACCCAACGTAATTGTTATTTAATTTTTCCTTGCTTTGTTTGAGCAGTTGTTGTGGCCGCAGTTCCTTCGAGCTGGTGAGTCATATAAATGCCTGGCCTTGAATTATATGCGTAGGATGTGTACAGGAACACATACATGCAAGCTTTACACGTACACACACATACACACCACATACATGCTGCACTTTGCTCCCACGCAGAGCAGAGCAGAGCAGCTGACAGTGATAATAAAGTACAAATTTATCATAACTCGGTTGAATAGAAATGAAAGCCTTTGCCAGCTCGTTGAGTTCTCATTTGGCATAGCCATTCCATGGACTTTATGTAGGTTCCTTTCAATATCATAAATCACATGAAAATCCGTGTAAGCATTACATAATAAATGATAAGGGCAATGCTCTAGAATAAGTAAAAGCAAACACGTTAAGCTGCAGGTAAGCTTGTAATACAACTAAAAAATGAGTAAAAGGTTGTACCTGTAAGTTGCCGTAAGATATGTTACAGCCAATAGAAAATACTTTCGGAATTAATATAGGGCATACTTTTAGGAACGTTTTGAAATTGTAAATGTAAGCTGCACTTTAGCTTATCACAAGGTATCCTCCAGTTCACCTTACTAGAGCTTCTAACCTTTCTCATTTCATATGGGAGCCTACGCAACAATTATCACGTAGTTGCAAAGGGTGCAGTAAAATGCAAACAGCTCAGATTAAGTAAATTAAGAACATGGTTAAGGTCAAAGGAGCAGGTTGGCTATGTAAGCTTTAATGGAAAAATAAAGGAATATATGCCACCAAAGGAGAAATGGAAACGCAAACAGCAAATCCTTGGGCAAAGTGTTTTTATTTATGTACCACGGCAGTGATAGGAGCTCAAAGTCAAAGCGCCAACCAGGAGGCAAGTGTCATGTCATCCCAATCCCATCAATAGAATTTACGTTATTTACGCGTGACTGCTGCCAAATTGAAAGCAGAATTTTGTTTGACGGGCCGATGGCCGTTGGTCAAAATTCGAATACAACGGCAAAAAGGCCAATCGATAATGTTTCCATTGTTCGGGCTTAAACTCATTGGCATGGGCATTGTCATTGATATTGCTTTCGTATGGCCAGCAGATTGCGGCTTAATGGGGTATGATGAGAATCCCATTAAGATATTTAGACTTTAAATATTTATTTTTATAGACATAGATATAGATGTGGATATATAGATATTGTGAAATTGAATGGTTCCAATATTTTCGAAATTAAAAGTTAGCACATTTATTTTCGTGTGCTTACAGGGTAGTATTTGGTCGCATACTAAAATGTTTAACTAAGTGCGAACTACTGTGCGTATGAGCAATATAAACGTCATTATGTTCATGTGTATGCCAATGGGCTACGACGGTTTTGAATTATCAAAGCTTGTTGAACGTTTCCCAAGCTCCCCATCCCGTATGATACACGCTGACATACACACACATACACACACATACACACACACACACACACACAAACAGACACAGACGCACACTAGTTGGCAGTAAATGCTGACAAACTTGGAACGGAATGCTTTGTGGCATGTGTAATTTTAGACACCGACACATTTTGCGCACCCTTGACAGCAGTTGAACTAATTAAGTTGACCAGTTTTGTGGCTTGGCATATTAAGTGCTTAGGCCTTAACACAATTTATATTGGCCAACGCCGAAAAGTATGCTAAGTATTTGTTTCCAGTCGCAATTTAACAGAAATTGTTTTGCAAAACAATTGCGTTTCAGCTTTACTTATTTTTGTCTTTAATGCGTTCTAGCTGCACTCTGCCCCCGCCCCTCTGGCCCATGGCTAGAAACAACTAGGAAAACTTTAGCTGCAGCTGCCCCCGCCAAAAAGCCAACACAAAAGTTCTAAGTGCAAATTGTTTGCCTAAAGCTGACGCATTGTTCTTGTGCTTCTTCCTGAAAATTGACTAAACAAAAGTTCGTGCCATGCAATTTAAATTGATAGCAGCAAGTTTTACTTGGCTTGTTTTTGTTTTTTTTTTCACTCACTCATCGATTTCCTCCTCGGACAGCGAGTGACTGTTGCCCGTTAGCAGCGACATCTTGCGGTCGGCGCTGTAAATAAAAAATACCAGAAGAAAACTTTAGGAGAGTTTTATGTAGTGTATTAGCAAAAAAACTAGTAGAGGTTCAAGTAGCGCAGGCCTGAGTCCTGACATAAACAAAACTCTGAATGACTTTTGTTGGGGGCCGGGGCAAACGGAGCGCGTTTTGACAGCTTTTAATTAAAAAGCGACAATGCAAAGCGTCACGTTCCACGACGGTTATGACGGGCATCGTTGTGGCATGCGTGTGTGTGCTTGTGTGAGTGTGCGTGTATGTTTAGGTAATTGGCAGTCGCCTGGCCGCAGTAGCCCGCACAGGAGTAAAGTCCTTGAAAAATTCCACAGCTGCTGCACTAGTTTCTCGCGGCTAGCAAGCACTCCAATGGGCCCAATGTTGAGATGCTTTATTTTGAGGCTCGTACTCTGCTGCATTTTGTATTAAGTCGCTGCGCAAACAAGATTTTGGTAGATTGAACACGTCCGACGTGTGCCAGGGAAAGCTTAAGCAGTCCGAAATGCGTCTAACGCGTTTAAAGTTAGGCTACAGTTTAAATTGTCAGCTTATATACCCTGTACAGCAAGTCGAAAGCGGGAAGTGTATGCCCTAGCTTACATATAGAGATACACTCTATCTACAGCTCTATCTTACAAAATGCGAAACAATTTCACAGGCTGGCATTATTTTAAAGTCAGGAACTTGTTGCAGGGTATTCAACTAGTCGGACAACTTGTTACCGTTGCTGTGGTTCTTGACGTTGAGTTTTTTAGTGCTAAAGTTCAAGGCTACCATAAGCTGATGCTAGGGAGAAAAGCCGGAAATTGAGTGTCGTTGACTGGCGCTATTCTGCTATTAAATATTTTGTTGATACTGAGCAAAGAGCTTTTAAATAATTTAAATAATAAATTTTATAGGACAACAGCAAGCGCGGTTCGAGAACATTTTCGATTGTCAAAAATCATTGCATACTTTGCGACGCTTGTGATTGAGATTTATAATATGACTATAGTTAAAACTATTTTAATATGTTACATAGTCTACATAATCAAATAAGAATGCTGAAGTCGGGAATGCTTGACTATAAGATACCCTAAACCTCGTGTGATTTGCCGTAAAATTCATTTTTCTATTTAAAACCTTAAAAGTTCTTTAGATCAACGCGGCAGACATGTGAGCATGAGTAGATCGACTCGGGGGTTGCTGATCAAGAACATAAAGGGTAGGTATATGTTACTCTCTCTTTCCTGTTACATACATATGCACATTTGCGACCATACTCTTCGACCGTACTCTTTGACAAATATTTTGCTTATCATATATTGCCAACAGAGGAGAGCATATTTATTTTATTATCCTTAGCATATTCGTGGAACTGCTGACGAGGAAAACTTTTGTATGCTCGAGTGTGTGTTTTTTTTTGTTTGCAAGCCTTTTGCAGGCTGCGGGTGACCCAGTAAATAAGAACAGCCTTGAAATCGTTTGCTGAACTGTTCAATGAACAATTGCAGAGTCATCAACAATGCAAATTTCCATTTGTTGTCGTTAGCAGCTCTGCAAACTGGCGCATATTTAAAGCAGGAAAACTTTTTCAATTAATGATATAAGTAAGACCCTCTCTTGCTGTTGGCATACGAAAACAAGTCCAGATGTGTCAGGCCATGCTCAAAGAGCAGGCCATATAAGCAAACCAAACCATTTTTAGGATAACGAGCTATTGATTTTCTAACGTGAAAACTTGAGCGTTTAATCAAACAACGTGGGCAATGCTTTTGTTTATCTTAGCGAAGTACAACAAACATAATAAAAACCAAAACAATGTTTTGTACTTACGTAAAGGTAAAAGTTTTCGAGCTTTGATTTGTTCAAAGTTGGCTGCAACAGAAAAACGCGCGTAAATCGACTTTTTGTCTTTGCGTCCTGCTTCAGCTATTTGCGCTTTTGCTGCTGCTTTGTTTATTTGCTTGTCTGCTGCGGCTCACGTGCGACAACCACAATGTTACGTGTTAATATCAGGAGCTTTCTCTTGCTTACTCGCGTTCACTCTCTTACTCTGGCGCAAACGCACACGCACACTGTTACAATTCGCTGAGGCGTTGACGTCCGTGGCGTGGCGAAGTTCAACGTCGACTGAATGAGAGAAGAGACCAATAAAAACTCAAATGCTGCCGCTGCCTGCTGCCTGCTGCCTGCTGTCTGCTGCCTGCAGACGCTGCGCTGCTGCCAACTGAACTCAACTCAACTTTCCACAGGAAGCTCGTTGCCATGAAACTCACTCAAACGACGCCAAATGTTAAACAATTGGTAGTGTGATTCAGCGAATTGTTTAAATTTCCGTGCGTTACGGCAAAATTTAATTATACTCTACAAACATGAACCGACAATTATCACACACACACACACACACACACACACAAAAGCATGTTCATAGAAAAGAAAGACAAATTACATTTTTGTTTGGCTTTGTTTTTAATTTGTGCTCAAATTTCGCTCACTTTCGGTCACATAGCTGTTGGTATGATAAGGGGGTGTGGCGTGTTGCCCAGTTGCTGCTCTGCCTGCTGCGTGCAACAGCTGCGCAGCGATGCTACCACTCGGCTGTTCCCTCCTCAAAGACCGTCCTTGCCTCAAAGTGTGTGGCGGGTGGTGTTGGGGACGAGACATTAATGGTTTTTTATTCTTAAAGCGTTCCATTTAAGTGCCAAATGTGGCGCTTATTAAATCACGCATTGAGCTACCGAAGCGTTAACGTCCAGTCTAAGCGTCCAGTCTGCCCAGCGGCCCAATGGGCGTATACGTAATATGCGTTGCGCATACGCCGTAAGATTTAATTTAAAATACCTTCATTGCAGGCTGTATTAAACATAGTTCAGCTGCCTTAGAAATGGAAATCGTATCTTTTGCAGCTCATAAAACAGAAAATTGTTTCATTTTTTTTTATGTGCCGCGTTCATAAAAAGCATTCACGGGAACTTAATGTGCATGGATATGTATTTGCATTTGTATATATTTGCCTGGCATGTTGGCAGTATTTATGCTGAAATGCCTTGGACTAGCAGTCGACAACTAGATATCCTGTATTAACTGAATTCTGATATTGTTTCAAGCTCATTTTACAAATCAATAATAAAGTAGATCTCCAACTAATAAGAAACCATTTCAATGCCAACAAACTTCGGTTTGGTTTAATCGATTCCAAATATCTCGCGTACTAAACTATTGTTTACAAGAAGTACTATTGTTTTTTATTGCTAGCTTAGTTAGCACCTGGCATAGAATTCTCACGTGAGCTTCAGCTCCATTCGAATTCTACATTAATACTCATGAGAACAAAACACGTGGCGCCTCACTAATTATCGTGCATTTACTTTATGACGGCTTTAGCCTACTTAATTAACAGTGTGACTTTAATTTGACATTGACATTCAAATTTTTACTCAACTAAATTTTATTTATTGCTCTATTTCTAGTTTTCTGTCGCTCTTCCGCAAACACACGCACAAAGCCCACGCCTCGCCACGCTTCAAAGGCTGCCCGACGGCCAACGACACCGTTCTGGAACAGTACACACGATTACCGAGGGGATGGGACTAGGTACATTTATCTAGTACATGGCGAATGTATGCATAAGTATATTTAAATAGAGACATAAAATGAATCAAGATCCGGCAGCAAGTGCGATATAGAAAACAGACAGACGGAAGACAACGAATATATTTTGTGACAGCGCGCTAAACGAGTAAAAGCCAGACGAGATATTTTATGCATTGTGTTTGGGACGGCGATAAAATACCCTAAGCTTCGAAATTTAACTTAGCTTATAAAGTAAATTTCGTCAACATTTCTTAGATCTTAAGTTACTTATTTTTGGACAAGCAGTTTTTTCTTTCAATTTGAATTTGGAAACTTGTAAAAGCCAGACGAGATATACATAAAGAAATACCTTTGCAATTTGCAAATTTGATTTTCTTAACATTTATAGTTCTCAAGTCATAATAAGAAGTCTGTATAGTTTAAAGCTTTTATGTATAACTGCCAAAACTGAACCGATGTCATTTTGGGCATGTGTTTTAATTTAGAGAAAAACTACTGCTCGACTCGTGTTACATATACCCTCTTCTATTTCAATAACAGACTAGACAATCTACTTTCGGTTAAAGCTATCTTTACGCTGTTTCGTCGGCCCAGTTAATTTGTTATTGTTTTCGTTTTACAGCGACATCAATGAGCTCCGACAAGTGCCATGCCCACTGTGCGCTCATTACTCAAGTATGTCATAAAAAAAAAAAAAACGTGACGCGTAAAGCATTGCTCATACGCAACGTTGCCTCCATTTTACGCATAAGTCGGCAATAAGCAGACAACAGGCTTTAAGGATCTCGGGCATTGGGACAGCTTATGGTATTTCATTTATTATTCAGCATGTGGAATGCTTGCACGCATACAAATGGAATGTTGCCATGCACATATATATGTTTATGTATATTTTTAATGGGCATTTCTTGAAAATACAATAGATTCACTTAAAATCAATAATAGGCACTGTTGAGCAGCTGCAACTGATAATCACATGCGCATAAATGAATTTACGTCAGGACTCGATTGCCTTAGAGACACTTGTGCACACAAAGACTAGAGTCTAGATAGATACTAGCTAAATATATATATATATTTCTATGTATATCCCATTTGGGCTTGCAAGAGTGCATGACATGTCCATTCGTTAACATGACATGTAAAGAATAAGTGCCCACAGCTCAAGCAAAATGTTGTTTCAAACAGCCGTTTCCGTTGCGAAGGATAACAAAAAAAAAATCGTCTGGGAACCCAGAAGCCACAGCCCGCTGCTCAGCCGACACCCACAATCGTGCCCTGAAACTCCAGCACCACCCAGCTGGCACCACCTGACTGCGCATCCGTTACATAACCCAAACAGTTTCTGCTTGGCCCACAAAAATTGCGCTCACTCAGCTTGCCCGCGCTCTCTCTCTTGCTGGGATTTCTTAAATGCGCGCTCCACCATTTCAGTCGGACGCGAGTGCGTTGAACTTGGCCTCGTTTGAGCGCAGTTGGCCAAAAGTTTGAGTGAAACACTTTTGGTAGCCTCTTCGTGACAGCGCAGGGGCATGTGCCCACTGAAAATTAGTTAGGTATGTGTTTGGGCCACGCTGCGTCATCCCAGTCAAGTCTGCCCAAAATGTTATCCACACGCCGAGCGAGAGCAACTCCCAGTCCAGCTCCCCGGGGAGGTGTCAAACAAACTGCGTGCGTTAATCTTCTAGGGCAGGCTTGTGGTATGCGGCCATGCGCACCGTGGTCCTCATTTGCATAATGGATTTAAGTATAGGTGCCAGCAGAATAATGCCGACACCTGGTCATTTAAAACATTTTCACTGTTTAATTGAAGCTGTATAAGCCGTTAATGTTTCAGGAATTGAGTATGATGGAAATGCTTATAGATAATTCCAAATAATGACAAATAAATAGGGGTTTGTGCTTGAGATTTTAAATATTACTTTTTCACTCAGTTTTCCCTCCGTGGAAATTCAATTCTGCCTGTAATTCTTGAAGTCCACTTCTGTCTGAAAATATGTTTAATGTTCGTAGAATGAAAAACCATTAGTTGGAAACATGTTAGTCTTTTTATAAACTTGAAGCCAAAAAATAAACTTTTGCGTGCTTTTGTCATCAATCAGTCAGGCAGTCATTCAATAATTCAGTCGCTCAGCCAGTCATCAAGGCTTATATCAAGGCTTTACCTTTTAAATCCTTGCCCAGCTATGCAGTGAAAAATACATTTTTTGAAAATTCTACCTTTGAGTATGCAGCAATTCAATTTAGTTTTCACTTAACTAATCTTTCAGACTCTGTTTCATGCAATCACTTCCATCCACAGTGCTTCCTATCGACCACAAATAATAAAAGGATACAGCGTCCATTTAGAAAGCCGAAACCTTACGCGAAGGACGCAGGCAACAGACAGCAGCTTGCTTAATTAAGCGTCAAGAAAAATTGTGAAATGAAACTCGAGCATTTATTTGGTTTTTAAAGATCATGTTTACTTCAATCACAGCACAGAATACAGAGAATTTTTATTTAATGGTTTCTTTGTCGCTCGAAAGGAAATACGAAACGAAACACATGAGAAAAACTATCTCAACTTGTTGGTTGTATTGTGTGTGTGGGTGTTTGTATTTGTGTGTGTGTGTGTGCATGTATTGGTTTAGGTGTTTGTTGTTGTTCGGCAAGAAGAAGAGCATAGCTAAAGGCTTTGTGTGTTTGCCTGCGTGGGTGCAAGCAGCGGAGGCAGCAGTAGGCGCCGCAGAGTAATTGGAAAATGTATAGATAGATGCAGATGATGTAAGAAAACGAGAAGAAATGAAGCAAAGAAGGCAAAACATAGCTCAAGGTGTTTTATCTTTGGAAGGGTATTTGATATTTTAAGACTTTAGAAATATTTCTTGACATGTATTGTTGGTTTTCTTTTTTTATGCAATATAAGAACTAATCTCAAAGTTTTAACACACATCTAACATCTATATCTTGAATTATTTATGTATATTTATATGTATATATATATATATATAGTATGTAGATGTATATAAGTTGCTTTATGTATATGTTACGCTTTGTTAAAACACAGTTACAGTTGCTAGTTACATTTGACTTGGTTCTACGCTTATATCAGGTTCGAAATGGTTTTTAAGCTATTTTTCATTATTATTTTTTTGTTCATTAGTGGTACAGCAGTTGTGTTTTCTGATTGTTGCCAGTTGCAAACAGAACTAAAATACTTATAATAAGCTAACTTAAAAAATTAAGAAAAAATTGTACAATTATAATAAAATATACAAATATTACATAGTGAACAGCAAACACATTTATAATCTCAATTGGGTAACTTAAACACTTTTTAACAATTAAAACTAGAAACTGATCAAGCGCTTAATGCACATATTCAAAGGACATTTAGACGAGGTCTCTGAATTTAGCTTTGTCTCAGTTCATGCTAGGAAATTTGTGTACACAATTATAAATCAGCCTTCGTCCCTTTGACTAAAAATTGCCAGCGCCTTGGCTCTTTGATCTTATGCAGCTCCTATGTGGCCCACTTAGTACTGATAGTTGTGTGGAAAAACAGCGCGTGCGGGCAAATAGCAGGGATCGTGCTGGTTGCGATAGCGACGCGCCAGAAAAACGGCCAAAACCTGTGGAAAATGTGGAAAATGAGTTAGAAAATATGTCCCGAAATAAACATAAATATAATGTTAAAACAAAAGAATAGAAATAACTTAAGAAAACCAAACATTATTGTAATAATTATATGAATATGTCTCACCAGATGCGTTAGCCGAGTTTAAATTTTCTAAGATACTTTAGTTTAGTTAGGATACTTCGCCAAAGAGTTTGTTAGTGTATGAAGAATTATATGGGACATACAGATGTTTGCAAGTATGTGGATGTAAAATATGTTTAATGTTCAGTACCGAAAAACACTTGATTGCTGGTGTTTGTTATAAAGGATTAAACACGCATCTATATCTTGTATATATATATATATTATATATATGTAGTATTCTAGATGTATATGTAGTATTTTTAGAGTTGTAAATGTGTGTATGTATGGCCTAATGCATAATGCGTACTTAGTTATGTTTGACCACATCCCGTAAGTACAAAGTACTTCCTAGTATGTATGTTGGCATGCAGTTATGCATGTGTAAGAGATGCCTGTGTAAATATAAATATGTTTCTATATTATGTATGCGTGTACGTATGTGTGTGCTGTATGATAGCAGCTAGCCACAAAGTTGATCTGATAGACCCACGATTGTTGCATGAATATGAAATTTACACATTGACATTAATTTTTCTTTTCAGTAGAGACACATGCGTTTTGAGCGCTTGTGCGTCTGCAATTAGTATTTGTTAATTATATTATTTGTTTAGTATGCAATTTAGAGGAAGGCGCTGGGCAAGCCGCGCGGATCCTTTTGATTGCGATAGCGCACTGTTAGCCAGACACCAACGAACTGAATGCATGCCATGGGAAGATACAATTGCAAGAGATTACAGTTTGGAATATAAGAAACCGAACTACGCCACACACTCACCTCAGTGAAGCTGAAGAAGATGCCCAGACCGCCGCACAGCTTGAAGGCATAATCAATTTTATCCTCCAACAAGGGGCCGCAGGGTCTGCAACGGCACAACGGATCCTTTGAGTCGGCACAGCACTCTCTATTGATTATCTCGCAGCTGGGCTCCTCGCCATTGGTGACGCTGTTGCTGGTGGCATTGAAGCCGCAGCAAAGGAAGCTGTCCTGCACCTGTTTACGCAGCTTGGGTGGCACCGTCTTCCAGCCCTGCTCGGCGAACTGTTGCTGCTGCTCGGAGTTAACGGCCAAACAGGAGCTGGCAATCGAGAACTGGATGAGGAAGAGCATGAACAAAATGATCATGTACTGCATTGAGCAGAGTTAAGGTCAACCAACGAATGATAATGTTATCGATACTTTAGTTAACCTATTTGGTTATCAGTTCATATTATTATTATAAACAGACGCTCTGATAAGCCCCACCTGACGCAATAGCTAAATGTACGGAAGTCCGAGGAAAGCAATTAGCCAAGTAACTAGATTCATGCCAACAGCTGCGTCATGCTGAAGCCCAACTGGAATACACTTAACACACAGACCTGCACACACACATACGGGCATTCATAATTATGAGCTTCTATTTGAAATGTGCGGATGTGTGTAGTTAGAGCAAATGTCAGCCTCATCGACATACGTTGACCTTCAGCTCTGCGGCTGGAGGAGCACATTGCATAGACAAAGCTCACTTGTGCGTGCAGATTTCCTGCACATACAAAGATAAATATGGTATGTAGACCTGTGTGTAGGGCATTTTTGTTGTTGTTGTCGTTGTAAAAAGGATACAAAGAAGAGCATCACTTGATGGTGCTTGACGGCGCCAGCAAGGCCCAGCATGGATATGCAGATGAGTATCACCCCGCAGGCGAGGATGCCACCAACAATTGGCAGATTCGTGACAACGGAGGCCGCCCGTGCATAGACACCGACGCCAATCAGCAAGAAACCAATCATCTGAAAAATATCATGCCAAATAGAAACAAAAGCCATCATAAATAATCACAAATTAACCAGCATTGAGTAAATGCACATTTTCAAATTTTTTTCCTGTGTACACAACGCAATTTTCGTGTTGTTCTTGTTGTTGGTTTTTGTTTTCTGCTTACCACATACAAAATGTTAAGCGCAATGAGCGCGTTCTTGGAGCAGGTAAAACCACCACACATTTTGCTATTTGTTTGAACTTTTGTTTTGTCGTGCTATTTTATAATTGCCTAATTTTGTTTAATTCTTAAATTTGAACAAAAAAAATGTAGCCAGTGTTTTATTCGTCTGTGGCGCAGGTTTCACTTTCACTGTAATACACATGCAAAATGCGCTAAAAAATGCCTTGTAATTGTTGAGAAATACGCTAAAAATTACCTGAGATACTAATAGGAAGAGATAATATGAGAGCGAGCGAGTGAGAGCGCACGCGGAAGAGCGAAATCTTTTTTGGTGATACGGCAACACTGCTGTGTTTACTATTGTTAATTGAGTGCCGCTTATTTTGAAAATCGTATATATTTTAATGCTATACACTATACTATTAATTTTAACTATTTATTTAATTAATGACATTTTAATTGAAAAAGTGTTGAATACAGCGCTGTCACAGCATTTTTGTTTTATCATGACATGCAGTTCAATGTTAACGTACTTTCCACATGATTGGCAACGCTGTATTTGAGTGGTTGGCAAACATAGTTGCTAGCTAATACTCAAACCCGCACTCGCTTGACAACACTAAATTGTTTTTTTTTTCTGAAAATGACAAAAAATGAGTGCAAGTGTAAAATAGGAGTGTGGTGAAATATGGAATGTAATTAAAATCAATCAGTGCATTTTTATTATAATGATTTCGTGCAATTTGTGTATGCTGTTACGTGTTCGGTCGTGTCGTGTGCGCTGTGTCACAGTGAAAATACAACAGAACAGGAGAACAACAATTTCAAGCGATGGCGAACAAGTGCCGTTAATTGCATTTTTACGCCAAACAAAATTCCGCGCGTAGCAACAGGCAAAGGCAAACAACTTCATTGCGTGTCGTCTTGGCAAGTTATTGGCCTAGGACCTCCGAGTTGGCAATATTTGGCAAACAACAACGACGTACATAAATTTATGGGCAAGCGATAAGCGCCGGCCGGCCAAACCATTTGGCCGCTGCCCAAAATTGGACAAGGAACGTGCGTCTCGCGCGCTTAAAGCTGAATTTAGTAGCTGTCAAAGCCATCAGCTGGTGCCGGGCAACACCTACAGCCGCAGCACGCAAAGAATGCCACAGGTGAGTGTGCAAGCACGCCAGTGTTGCCAGCTCAACTTATTTTTGGCCAAATCTAAGCTTTTTGGAAAGGCTGACAAAGGGGATTGGCCGAAGTTTTAGCTTCACTTAAAACTTGTTTAGAGTTTTACCGTTTTCTCTTTTTTAATATTGCGGAATATTTATTCAAAATTTCATTTATATTTTTTATCTACCCAATAATTGGCAAATGAATGTGTTGTCGAAGCAGATATTGTTTTGATTATGCTAAAAGAAATTATAAAAAACTCAAAGCAGCGCTTTTTCAATGCAAAAATCTAGCTATTTTCACTCCGCTCTCCTAGAACTAGCTTGCTTTCTGTGCAGCCCAACACTGCGGCACACACACAGAGGCATCCGCTTACAGATCAGCTGAAGCATCTCCATCTGAGCTTTGCGTGCAATTGGCGAAAATGCGGAGTCGCTTGGCTGTTCGGTCTGGCCTGTGACTTTATAAGGCTGCTGCTGCTGTCGGCTGTCAGTTGTTTAGAGCCCGGCTCATTGGCAGCTTTATTGGGCCTGGCTGCATGTGTGTGGCCATAGGCCGCTGGGCATGACAGCCGGGCAAAAGCAAAAGCAAAAGCAAATGCAGCAGCAGAAGCAAAAGCCGGCCAGTGCATACCAATCATAAATATGTACGACTTCTCGAATGTGGCATACTCGTAAATATGAATCGCAATGCAAGTGCAGGCGTGGGGCAGGCGTTCGAGCTCGTTAGTCTTGTGGTGCGAAGATGCAAAACGCTTTGGCTGCAACTGCAACTGCAACACACTAACTGCTCCTAACTGTCCTAACAAGATGGCAACACATGAAATTAGACTGCCCCGATGCACGTCCGCCGATAGAACTGATCGTGCCCAGCTAAATGCAACAGCAACTGCCAGTTGCAACAACACCGTCTGCAACATTGCTAAACTAATTAACATATTCAAATATTTGTCGCATTGTTTGGCCGGCTACGAGTTTCTGGCTCAGCACACTCGGCCCAGCTACGTTGTTGTTTGGGCCTGTTTATTGAAAAACCATTTTACGGTTTCATGCTTGGCAGTCATTGCGGCAAAACGCCGCAAACGCCTTGGCCACGCCCCAGTTGTGTGTGATGCGATGCGAGCGCATTGTGCAGCATCTTCGTTTGGCTTTTGGTTTTGGTTTTGCGCCCGTTGGCGCTATTTTTATCGCATTTTAAATGGCTATTTGTAGTTGTTCCACCAGGAAGTGGCATAAATTCGCAGCGCATAATGGCTGTGAATAAATTATTTTTCTGGCTAGCTGCAAGCTTCTTCTTGGCTCGCTGCAGCTTCCTCGCGTCGTTTGATGCTGATAAGCGGCCTCCAGACGCTCCTCCATTGCGTTGTTCAATGAAATAAAAACGCAGCCAAAGAACAATGCACTGGTTACGTAATCACTTACTGCGATTGTTGTCCTGAACCCGAACCCCAGACCTGGACTTGAGCCTGAGCTCGGGCCTGGGCATGGACCAACGTTCCATGCTCTCCATGCTGGTTTCAGAAGAGGGAGACTAGCCAGCGGCCTTCCTTGTGCAGCGAAGCAATCTTCACGCACGCCCTCAACCACAAGGAAGATCCCAAGCCATTGCCAAATTGAATACGCAGCACCATTCGGCAAACCAAAAGGTCGCACAGTTGCCACCAACTGTTGCAAGATCGGGCAGCGGAAGTAACTTTGCCCAGGGTTGCAAACGCAAACTCAATCAACAGCCTTAAGAAATAACTGCAATTAATCATTTGCATTTTGTTATAATACTTCCTAAATAGATCTACAAATATCAAAACTTAAAAGGAAAAATTTAAGTTTTTCAATATGTTAAAATTAGGATTTAATGATTGAGAAACGCGATGATGTCTGCAATTTGAGATGAAAATAGGGTTAGTTTTGCTTTTGTTTCTTAAAATTTGTATTCAATAATAAATGAATACATATTGTCCAAAGTAGTAGGGAAGAACCCTAGAAAAATTCAAAAATTTACAAAAAAAGGAAACTTTTTTTGCAAATGCATAAAATGTGGAGGCAAGGCATATAGTAATTCATGAACCTAAAAAATAGTTATTTTATATATATTCATTTATTATAGACTTAAAAGTAAATAATAAATGAAGGCAACCAGGGCTTTCAGCTAGATAATAGTGTGTACTTAAATACTTCTTTTTTATTAAACTATTGTATTATTATGTATTAAACATTGTTTTGTTTCTATTTTCCATTTTCATTCCTATTTACATATCGTTATGCAAGAAAGAATTTTTGGGAATTTTATAAATTTCATACGCTTTCTAGAGTTACAAATTATTTCCTAATCTAAGCTACGGCAGCCGAATATACTGAATAAGAGAACTAAGCAAATGTGTCTAATGTGATTTTTTAATCCATTTTACACCGCTTATAAATGAGTTCTATTACTATTATTACTACCAAAGTCCAAGTAGCGCTTAGATTACACACTATTCTTATTGTCAGCTCTAGTAGGAGCCATGATAAGCATATTCCCACACTTAGTTGTCCTGTAAATTAAGACTTCAAGGACTCGAACATTGTAGCGGTCGTTTTATCTTTTCGCAACGGCATTTGGGAGGCATTTCTGGCTCATAGCACATTGTTGCCAGTAAAAAAACTGCGGCCGAACTGAACCATTTTGCAATTTCTAATTCCGCAACGGTTTTGTCTGTCTGCCAATTCGGCTAGCTCTACGGCTGCTTGGCTGGCTCTGAGCTCTGGGCACTGGCACTGGCACTGGCAGTGGGCCCTGTCTGGTCAATGTCCTTTGGTCTGGTGCGCCTTGCATGCGCATTGCGCGCACGACGCGTCAACAGATGTTATCCCCACTAGGCAGTGACCCCGGCAGGGCCATAAATTCTCACAGCGTTGCGCCTGCGCACAGCTTCTACAAATGTTCCAATTTGTATTTTTGCACAAATTGTTGTTGCTGTTTGCTGTTCTCGCTGTTGTTGTTGTTGTTGTTGTTGCTGTTGATGCCACTGCCGTTGCCAGTTGCCGTTGCGCGTTGCCCCTTTGCCCCCACACCCCTGGGCCCGTTTGCTTGGTTCGAGCTGCATTTAATTTAATTTGGCCTGCCCAATTGGGCAGCGCTGCAATTAGAGACAAATGTTTGGATGCATTCCTTGGGCCTACTTAAACCCCATGTTCAAGGCAATTAGTTTGGCCCAGCCCCAAACAGTCTAGTCTAGGCGAAAGTTATCAGCTTCAGTGGGGTGGGGTGTGTGTGGTGTGGCGCAGCGGCTATGTAGTCGATTTCCCACACGTTTGTTTGCTTAATTAGGTGAAAACTGGCTAACAGCTGTCGCCAGTGTTGGCATTGCCCATGGGCTAAAAAGACACCGCTGCCTGCTTTGCTAATGAGCAGGACAAGCTGGCGAAAAGAAAAGTAAGCAGGCCCGGCCTCGCTTTCTGCTTTCAGGTTGCCAAAATGGAAAATGCTGTTCGTTTGAAGTGCTAAAATTCCTAGCTACCAACGGCTGCAACATACCCTGTACGAAAGGGTATTATCACATTGTCAAAGAGTTTGTCTTGCCTTCTATAAAATGCATTTGGCTGGAATTGAATTTGAATTCAGATGCGTCAAGTTATTATTTAAGCAATCTGGCAACACTGCACATTTACTTTGGTGCAATAAGTTGGCTGCGCCTGGTAATTTCGTGAAATAAAGGTGAATTCGTTTTTTTACTGCTTGAAAAAGCCTTCTAAGGTGTCCTATGTTATTTTGTCTATTAAAAAAAAGGCCGTTCACCACAAATGAGCAACTGCTTTCGTGCAGTGTATGGATGCCTTAAAATATGACTGGTCTGAGGCATAGTTTGAATAAGTTTGGCTTCCCTTTGAAACCGTATATACTCCCATATATATATGTATCTATGCCAGATTGGGCATATAAGGTTCGGTGTGCCGATTGTGAAAATTTCACTGTTGGTCTTTTTTAGCATTTGGCATTTGACATTGCCCATCGTCTCATGGCAAGTGCATAATTTTTCAATCAATGCGAGCAGCTGTAAACAAACGGCAAACTATGAAGAAACCAAGAAAGCAACAGGCGGCCAGGCCAAGAAATCGTGATGTGGCCAACATGGCAAACGCTGGCGGATGCGCTCTCAGGAAGCGCTGTGCAACAAAATCAGCTCCGTCAAAAACATTTAAATGCAAATGCAAATGGCCATAAAGCGTGAGGGTGTTCAATGCGAGCTTTATGCAGCGATGTGGGCCAAAAGGCGAGCAAAA